TTTTGTATGTATGTAGATTTATTTTGTATGTAGTAAATTTATTTTGTATGTGGTAGACTTATTTTGTATGTAGTAGACTTATTGTGTATGTAGTATACTTATTTTGTATGTAGTAGATTTATTGTGTATGTAGTAGACTTATTTTGTATGTGATATGTAGTAGACTTATTTTATATGTAGTAGACTTTTTTTTTGTCACAATTTTATATGTAGTAGATTTATTTAGACTTATTTTGTATGTGGTATGTAGTAGACTTATTTTGTATATAATAGACTTATTATGTATGTAGTAAACTTATTTTGTATGTGGTAAACTTATTGTATATGTAGTAGACTTATTTTGTATGTAATAGACTTATTTTGTATGTGGTATGTAGTAAACTTATTTTGTATGTAGTAAACTTATTTTTTAATCTGTTGTTTTTCAATTTATAAAAATTCTTTTGTTTTATCATTCATATTTGTTTTTTTAATTTAAATTTATGTTTCCTCTCTATTTTTGTTTTATTGTTTACACTCTCTCTATTTTCCTTTTTAATTTTCTTCTTATAATTTGTTTATACTCTTTTCGTTATTTTTCCTAACTAATTGGGATTATTTGAAATTTTTTTTTTACTATTTGGTTAGTTGTTTTGACAATTATTTTGTTCGTTTTCTATTTTTATTTTTATTTTTTCTTAATTAATTTTAAGTTTTAACACATGTTTTCATCTAATCAATATTGGACTCTTGTTATGATCTGGTGAATTATAATTTTGCTTAATTGTCAAACTCTGGTTGATAATATTTTCTTACTTAATTTTTTTTCTCTTTACTTTTTGTTAGGGTTTACACTCTCTCTCTATTTTTTTTCTTAATTGAATTTGATAATTAGTTTAAACTATTAGATTTTTTTAATCTAGCTAGTATGAACTATTAGAAATTTTTCTTTTTATTCATTAGTTTGGACAATAAAAAAATTTTCTTTTTTACTATTTGGTTAGTTACTTTACAATTATTTTGTTCGTTTTCCAATTTTAGTTTTACTTTTCTTAATTAAATCTATTTTTTAACACATGTCATCATCCGATCAATATTAAACACGTGTCGCAATCTGTTGAATTACAATTTTGCCTACGTGTCGCATCTTTATCATGCACATCCTCTTTTATATAATAAGATATTCATATTTTTATACATCATTTAAATAATACTTCCTCTGTTTCAAAATGTAAGATGTTTGGAGGTTTTTCATTGTTTCAAAATGTAATATGTTTTGACAATCATATGTACTTTTTTTAACTTTATTGAATATTGTGTGACCACTAATATTTTATTGGTCAAATTAATTTCTATTAGATATATTAAATGATACATTTTAGAAGAAAAATAGTTTTTTAATATCCGCATTTTTAGCTAAAACATCTTACATTTTGAGACGGAGAGAGTATATTTATTTATTATACTTTTCAAGTAAACAAACAAAATACCATAACAATACCAAAATTTGTGCATTTTTATATCTTAATATATATATTTTTTTTGGCTAAATGAAAATTAAAAGATATATCTTAATATATGCTTATAATTATCTTAACTTTTGCTCAAAAAACAAAACAAAACAAAATTATCTTAACTTATGCTCATATAAGTTTTTATATATGCACACGAATCCGAAAGTCATATGGATCAAATTGTTTCTTCCATGATCGGTACGGTACGAGCTTCGAAAGCCAACACTTTCACGTCTTCCGTCCGGTTCCACATACATCGCATGGCATAGATGACGTCTGAGACACGTACCATGATATCTCTTTTCCTTGAAAGTGGCACGAGCTTGTTCCATTATCTACTCATACTTCGCTTTATTCTTAATTACACACGGTTACCTTTTTATTATCATCGATTCATTATCAAATATCATACCATAATCATATTGCTAGTTTGCTTAAAATGTTGAGGCAATACCAATACTAGTTGATGACTTGATGTATCTATTTGTTTTACATCAGAAGGTTATGTTGGTATAAAACATATATATGTACAAGTTAGCCACTAAAATTTCACGGTTACTTTTTTGTATATAAACCTTCGTCCTCATCGATTCATTACATTACCATAATCACATTGCTAGTTTGTTCTGTCAAACCATATCTTGACTCGTCATCTTCTTTTTTCCCAATTCCATTTTTTTCGTAGCTCAAATTGCTCTGGAACGACATATACGATTCTTATCACTTCACAATCATTTACTCTCTGTAATTGATAAATGATTGTTTGATTTCCTATACAATGTTTTATCATCTCAAGTTCTCAACAAAGTCAAATTGATGTTGTAACATGTTTTCCAGTAATTTAAAGTATGATCAATATTTTCTACACAAATCAACAAATCTCTAACTCCATAACATGTTCACTAATTAAGGAATCATTCTTTTAGTGAAAG